TCTTTTTTAGATGAATCAGCTCTTCACTGTATTCATTAGCATTACTGTTTTTCTGGTTTCTAAGTTCTGCCCTTATCTTTTTTAGTCATATTCCTGCTTTCTTTAGGTTTATTTTGTTATCCTTTTCCAAACATCTAGAACGAGTTACTTAATTTAAAATTTAAAGCAGTTTTATTGAGATATAATTTATATACCACAAAATCTACCCATTGTAACAGTAGCATTTGATGAATTTTCATAAATGGATACAACTGTGAACCATTACCACAATCCAGTTTTTTAATATTTCCATCAGCCCCCGAAGGTCCCTCATTCCTGTTTTCATCAATTCCTACTCCCAGGCAACCGCTGTCTCTGGAATTTTGCCTTTTCCAGGAATTGCATCTAAATGGCATCGTGCAATACGTGGCCTTCGTGTCTGGCTTCTTTCACTCACCATAATGCTTTCGAAGTTCATATATGTGTGCTGCTGAACAGTATGAATCTTTCCTCACCTGCCCTCGCTTCTGGAGGCCCGTGACATTTCCTGGTTTGTAGCAGCATCGCTCCAGTCTCTGCCTCTGTCCTCCCATGGCCTTCTGCCTGTGTCTTCTCCTTTTCTGTCTCTTATAAGGATATCACCTTTGGATGTAGGATCTACTCCAATCCAGGATGCTTGAGCTCCTTTTCTTAATGACTTTTGAAAGGCCATTATTCCAAATCAGGTCACATCTGAGGTTCCAGGTAGACATAGCTTTTGGGGGAACACTGCTGTAACAAAATACCGTAACAAAAACTGAGTGGTTTAAACAACAGAAATGTATTTTTCACAGTTCCGGAATCTGGGAAGTCCAAGGTGAAGGTGCTGGCAGATTTGGTGTCTGGTGAGAGCTCTCTTCCTGGCTTGCAGACAGACACCTCACTGTGTCCTCACATTGTGGAGAGAGAAGAAGAGGAAGCAAGCTCTCTGGGTGACTTTTATTATAAGGGCACTAATCCCATCATGAGGGCCCCACCCTCCTGATCCCACAGGCCCCACCGCCAAATACCATCACATTGGAGGTTAGGGCTTCAACATAAGAAT